ACCTCAAGGTGTCGAATCTCTCAGATAAGATCTCAGACTGCTGATCTAGAAAATCCTCATCTTAACACCGTAAAATAAAAATATCCAATTAATAATTGAATCTCAACCCATAATCAAGAATCTAGATTACTTGTCTAACATCCAAGGTAAACGTCAACTTTACCCTTTTTCCTTACTTGGCCCAAAACCAAGGCCCAACCCATTTGCTCAAAAGGTCCAAATTCCTAAATGGCATCCCAAGGCCCAATATGGCCCAACTTCCTAATGTGGCCCAAAAACCATCATGGACCTAATTCCAAAAAAATCCCATACTTTATCCATGGCCCAAAGTCAGAAGTCTAATGGCCTAAGAAGGACCAAACCCTAAAAGAACTGAATCGGTTAAGCCATTATGTGCAACCTCGTCTATCTGGGGCCAGTACATGCAGCGTACAAGCTGGGTACGCCCCACATACTCCGTAGACAACCAAACCAACCCATTAAGCACTGAATCAGTTAAGCCATTATGCCAAACTGCCAGATCTGATCCTAAATGGTGGCTGAACACGTAAAGTTGGCAACTTTACTCCCATGCATGTTTTAATAAGACCCAAAACTCAAAGAGAACCATAACAAGGAACTTAACACATGCATGAACCAAAATAACTCATAAAGGTTGCATTTTTATGGACAAGGGACCTCAAATATGCTAAGATCTAACCTCCGTGGCTTCTGTAGTGCAACATAATCTCAAATATGGCTTAAAAGACCCAAAAAAATGCATAAATAACACCCTAAGTTGGATCTAGTATCAAAGAACCATCAAGATGAGTTTTTTTTTTTTTTTTTTTTGTAACTCAAATGGATTTCTAAGATGAAGATGACTCTAGATATACAACCTTAAGCCACTCTCAAGCAATCTCTAAATGTTCTTCTTCTACTTCACCAAAACTCACTTTCAAGCTCAAATTTCACAAATAACAATTAGGTTTTTGATCTTATGGTACAGAGGGATGAAGTCTATTCATTTGGAGGTCCAAGGGTGTTATAAGTAGCTTAAATAGGGCACAAACCCTAAAAATTAGGGTTTGCCTCTACATTATGTACGCAATGCGTACTGCCACGTACGTGGGTGAACTCGTGATCCATTGATGAGCTAGTACACTCAGCGTACTCATAGAGTACGCCCCACGTACTAGCTAGGGACTAAAAAGATAGAAAATTTTGCATTAAGGGTTAAAAAGGAAACATACAAAATCTCGAATGTTACACTTGTCATCTGTTGAGCATGATCCCAACGGTTTCCCTTGTCCAATCTGGACCGGAAGGATGTGGGGAAATCCCATTGGTGGATCATGCACCAATAATGGTCCTCTATGCTATTAGTACAAAGAGAATAAAGGATAATGCCCTAAGCATTACACTTGTCACCGTAGGGAGCGATCAATTCTATTTTGGCTTATTATAGACCAAAACTTGTCGTATGGACTTGGACCTGGTACAAGAGCGGTAAGCACCATAGTCCCAATGTAAGACCACGAGGGCGAGGGCCCAGGTCTAACACTAGGTTGGTTAGTGATCGTTAGCTTGGTCATCCTAAAGATAACATTTATGTTATCTTTAATGTATTCCTATATAGATACGTAAGCAATGTCCAATGCATGTCTTGACTTCATTTTAGGTCAAAATAAAGGTTTTTGACCGAAAACCTCATGCATGGCTATAAAACCAACTCATACTTCATATCCCTAGCATCAAATACCCCAAATGTCCAATACATTCATAAAGTTGCAAACTTCCTCAAATGTCCAATACATTCATAAAGTTGCAAACTTTATGAGATCTTACCACCCCAACTCACCAATACATGAAGAACATGGGACAAATCCAAAGATCTTGCAAAGATTGAGTCTTGGACACTTACAAATGTCCAGAAGATATGCTAGAAGATGAATATGATGCTTGCCCTAAACTAAGTCAGCGTACATTCTTGATATGTCTTGTTGTGGTGGTGCCTCAGATGTTACAATTCAGTATTCAAAAATTTTCAAAAAAAAAATAAAAAAAATTATTTTCCAAATTTTATATAAATTAGAAAAATCATTTTTATAAATTTCCAATGTTTTCTAAACTTTTAAAGTGAAAAATAAAAACTCTATCGATTCTAATAATACGTTTTCTTAAATTTTCATTAAAATTTGAAAGTAAAAATTCAACTTTTACTTTTTGAATATATATTTTTGAAAAATAAAACAGTTTTTTTTTTAAAACCAAACGAAATCAAATGCACCTTAATATATTTAGATTTAAAATAAAAATAAATCTCCCTATTCTAATAAAAGAGTAGTTTTTAATCTCTTTTTGACATGTGTCATCATATTAAGCCTCATAATTAATGCAAATTTTATTTTTCTTTTGTCATGTTTCACTTTATTATGTCTTATAATTAATACATACCATTTGTCAGCATATTGATTCACCAATTTCAAATTTCAAATTTTAAATTTCTCAATCTAATTACATTAAAATAACAACATTAGAATAAAAATTAAAATAAAATTAATACAAATTATAAAATGATATAATTTTACATATTTATTTAAATCAATGATTATAATTTTATATAATTAAAAAAACCTCTTAATTAATAATTTATTTAAAATATGTTATTAATAATTTTAAATTTTAACTATTAAAATTTAATTAATTTTATAACTGTGATTTCCCATGTTATAAACTTGTAAATAATAACAAATGCGATCAATTAATGCTCCCGTGTGCAAATATCAAGCTTGTCACTTCAGTACTCTATCTTCTAGGAAAATAGATGCCCGTGATATAAAAGTCAATTTCTTGGTTTTATATTATCCCCTAGTTATTGTTCTTTATTTTTTGAAATAATAATAATAATAACAATTATTATTATTATTATTATTATTGTTATTATTATTTAATAATAGTAATTAGATTAGTTAATAAAAAGGGAATACTAAGAGTCCTGGTTTAAGGGGTATTCCCCTGTTACTAGAAAATTCAATATCAACCATGGATTTGGATTTAAAAATTTAATTATTTATAATGTAATTAAAATCATTTTAATTGTAAAATTTTTGATCGGTTTGAAAATTTATTAGATCATCGGCGCTATATATGAATTTACAAGCTACAAGTTAGTTTTATAAGTTTAACAAGGTAATAGCTATAGATTAGATAGAGAGAAAAAATATTCGTTAGTAATTCATTTATAACCGTTTGACATAAGACAAAAGCTAATGTCTAACTTTTAACTGCATGCAAAAATTCCATTTTAGAGACTATCCATGTTAAAAAGGTTTTGCACTAGGGAGAGCAGTGTGTGTATGAATGTTATGAAGTGGTTTTGAAGAACAGATTTCACAATTTTGAGTTTTTTTGTTTGTCAAATATATATTTTGTAAACTTAGATTCATTTGTTTTGTGACTAGACTAGTGTTCTTTGATGAATCAACCACCATAAACCGGGTTTTTGGGGCATACAAATGGCGGAGATCGGGAGATGTAGCCGAAGAGGAGAGGTTGAGGTTTAGCATTTCTTTAATCACAACTTTAAGGTAATGCAAATTGTTGATGTGTTTCTCTTCGAGTTTTTCGGTTAGGGAAATGGTGGTTGCCAAAGGTTTGTTAATTTGTTTTTCCTTAGATTGTGTAACTCTTACGAATACAAAAAAGTTGGTTCAATTATTAAAATCTTTGGTAGAGCCCTCATCAGATTTGACTTTTATATCTTGATAGTTATTCTTTAGTAGAACCCACTAAATATGGCTGTAATATCTCAATATATTTTTTGTGGAACCCACATATATGACTTTTCTATATCAATTTTTTCTTTTAGAACAGCCAATGGAACAATTTATTAAAAGCCAAGTAGTTGACTGCATTTATAATAATACCTATGTCTAGCAGCAAGAATAAATTTCTAGAGTAATATTGATAGATATGTTTTACTTAAACTAAATATAGTGGGAAGTATGAAAGACTTAAGTTTTTAAAAAAAATTAATTCGATGTGGTCTTATGTGAAAGAAAAAAAACTCAATTGTATTTTTTTTTATAAATTCAATGTTATTAGTGTATCTCACATGTGCATGAGAGAGTCTTATAAGAAACAAACTTGAGTTTCATATATATTTTACAAAAATAATAATTTAGGCATGCTAAATAATAATAGGAACTGATTCGTACATAATTTTTTTTCTTCGTACACAACAATTTGTGCTTTAAAGTGTTGTATTGTACAACTCTATAATGCATAAATTGTTGTGTATAGCAAAATATTATTGTATACGAATCACTTCTCAATAATAATTTTTAGGATTTTTTTCCTAATACTTAACTAAAATTACTTTAAATCTTTTTAAAATAGGTAATCGGTTTTAAAATCCAAAAAAACCATTGTGAGTTGTCCCCGAATTTTTTCCAGCATTCCAAAAACAATCAATATGATTTTGGTATCGGTTTCGTGGAATTTAGTTTCACATATCTTGTTACAGTTTAGATTAAAATTAAACCGTTACGATTTTTTTTTACGGAAACTTGATTGAAACATTGGCAGTCAAAAAATTCAACAATTAATTTGGGCATTGTTTTTTGGAAGTGGGATGTTCTTTAAAAAGCTTTTGAAGTATATGCCTATATGGTTATTAGATTTTATTTTAAGCAGTGGACTTTTTGTTCTATAAAATAAACATGAACACGAGCTGGACAAAATACAAAGTGTAAAAATTACAAAATAAAAAAATACCAAAAACAATGAAAAACATATGTATTAGAATTGATCAACCACAGTATTCCAATATGGTTATTAGATAATGTTGGCAAGTAAATCAAACCTTACATATACTAATGTCGACAAATACAACATGTGTTATTTATAGTAGTTGTTGACTTGGACTCCCTTCATAAAAACCACTACTTGGTGCATCCATTATTCTTAACTTGATTATAAGTCACGTATCTAATCACTCATACCATTTTATAACTCATAATGGTTGTTCTCTCTGAACTTTCTGAAGGATGTTCATCTTCATCATCAACACATGGTCATATATATGAAGTATTTTTAAGTTTTAGAGGTATTGACACTCGTCATAACTTTATCACTAACCTTCATAAGGCCCTCATGGATGCCAAAATCACTACCTTCTTGGACGATGAAGAGATTGAAATCGGGGAAGATCTGAAACCAGAATTGGAGAGTGCCATTAAAGCATCTAGGGCTTCTATTATCGTGTTGTCCAAAAATTATGCCACTTCCACTTGGTGTCTTGATGAACTGGTGTTGATCCTTGAGCAACGGAGGACATTCAATCATGTTGTTATTCCCATATTTTATCATGTTGAGCCCACCCATGTCAGGAAGCAACAAAGTAGCTTTGGAGATGCAATGGATAAGCATAGACAGAAGATGGAGGGTGAGACAAAGGCGGATAAAAGAAGTAAATGGGCTCAAAAGATTGAGCAATGGAGTAAATCACTTACAGAAGTTGCAGATTTAAAAGGGAAATATGTAAATGACAGGTAACCACATATTTCCATACTCCTTCACCTTTGTTTCATTAAGGCATGAAAAATTGAAAAGTCAATATCATCTTGCATTTAACAAGTTTTTTTCATTATCATCAAACAACCGTATTTTTATGTAAATAAATTGGATTAAAAATAGTCTTAAAATTGAATATTAATTTTTCAATCATGTAATCTCATAAAATAGTTCATATATGTACATTAGCTGCATTAATTTTATTTCTTTTTGTTAATTTTAAGTTAATTTATTTTGATATACCAATTGGATACTTCTATAAGCTTTTGGAAACAAAATTGGGAACTGATAGTTTCCTATCAGTGACATTTGTTTACATATATGCAAAACCACATCGATGTTAAAACTTAATAGTCTTTTACAACATAATGAAGTTTGGTGGCCGGTTTGTGAAATATTGCATTACATTGATGGCTCTGGTCCGCTTATTCTACAAATAATTGATGATCTTACAAGCCACTAACTTCTTTTGTTAGAAAGTGAATATGACCGTTTTGATAGGATAAACTTAATTAAAACTTATAGCTTAATTTGATACAATTTGATATGGGTCCTTAGATAAATTTAATCTTCAAATCCAGTTTTGTTTGTTTTGTGGATATTGTTTCGTTATTAAAATCAAATTTCAGGCAAGAGATGCAGTTCATCGAAGAAATTGTTAATGATATCTACCGTATACTGCGTGTACACTTGAGGAGTCCTCTGCCATTACTTATTGGGATGGAGAGTTCCATTACATTCATCACCTCATGGTTGAAAGATGCATCTTCACATACAACAGACATACTCACAATTTTGGGTATGGGTGGTATCGGGAAGACATCTTTAGCCAAATTTGTCTATGGATTGGATTGTCGTGATTTCAAGACTAGCAGCTATATTGGAAATATTAGTAGCAGATGTGATGAAAATTTTAGTGGGTTGCTTGATCTACAAAAACAGCTATGTGATGACATTTCAAAAACAAGTCCGATTCCAGCTGATGATGTTTCTATATACACTTCAAAGATAGAGAATGTTGTGGCTCGTAAAAAGGTTTTTCTAGTTCTTGATGACATTGATAGTGTCAACCAATTGGATGCATTGCTTGGAAGCAAGGGTTTTTATCCGGGGAGCAAAATTATAATAACAACAAAGGATGCATGGTTGACAGAGAGCTGTGCACTTTTTAAAATGAATGTTAAACCCAACCATGTAAAGCACTTGCTTCAAGGCTTACATGTGTCTACATCACGAAAACTTCTGTGTTTACATGCATTCACAACCAACCAGCCCGAGGCAGGTTATGAAGAAGTCTTAGAAAAGTTTGTGGAGTATTGTGAAGGGCATCCATTAGCTCTTGAAGTTTTGGGCAAGTCTCTGCATAATCGAGATGTAGCTTATTGGGAAGATACCGTAAAAGGGCTAAAGAAGGAAGTTGGTTCCCATATAAATAATGTCTTGAGGTCAAGCTTTGACTCTTTGCCATTGGAAAATGATAAGGAATTGTTTAAGCACATTGCTTGTTTTTTTGTTGGAAGAGATAAAGATGATACTGAAACAATATTAAAGGCATGTGATATAAACATAATATCTGGGATCACGAATCTCATTGACAGATGCCTTTTAAGCATTGGATGGCATAACGAGTTGGTGATGCATCAATTGCTACAAAAGATGGGAAGATTCGTGGTATATCAAGAATCACCTCACAAGCCATGGAAGCGAAGTCGATTATGGTGTGATGAGGAGTCACTCAAAGTGTTGAAACAAAAAAAGGTAAGATGTCCTGCATACTTGTTGATAGTAGAGTTTAATGCAAAAAAATAGTGTTATACTTTGGCGGATTTGATTTTTTTATAATGTTATACTTTCATTTCTTCCTATAACATCATTGTATTTTAAAAATCTACCCGATTATACCAATGTCATTCAAATACAAAACATTTTTTGTCGTTATAAGCCGGGTAGATTTTCAAAGTATAATATGCTAATAAGAAAATAACTGAAAGTAGAAAGCTATAATCGGGTAGATTTTTGAAAGTGCAAGGCCTTAGTAAGAGCCAAATTAAAAGGACTATGTATTATCTATATATGCTTAAAGTATATTCTGTTGTCAGATTAACTTATTTTAAATCTCTTTTTTCACTCCTATGTCTTCTTAGGATATGAGAAATCTTCTAGGCCTTGCCTTAGACATGCGAAGGCTTGAGAAAGCTGAGAAGTTGTGTGCATCATTTGAGCTGAAAACAAATGTATTGAGTAACATGGATAGTCTCATTCTACTACAACTCAATTTTGTGCAACTTAGTGGGTCTTATGCGAATTTTCCAGAAGATTTAAAGTGGTTGTGTATGCATGGATCCCCTTTAAAGTCTATACCTCTCAACTTACCTATGGAGAATTTGGTTTCCCTAGACATGTCATATAGCAATATTATTGAATCATTTGACATTTGTTATAGTAATCCACAACGAGTTCAGAAGAGGCAAAAGGTAACTTGTGTCCTTTTATTATTATTTTTTTCATTTTGAGTTGATGGAATTCACTGCTATTCTAACTTATCTATTTTCCTAACAGTTGGATGGATCATGCTTAAAAGATAAAAGGTTGCTTGGAGCATTAAAGATTCTTAACCTAAGTTTCTGTGAACAGCTTCATAGTCTGGGTGGCTTTGACCAACTCCCTGCACTTGAAAGGCTAATAGTTACAAACTGCATCAATTTGGTTGAAGTTTGTGAATCTATTGAGCAATGTGTTGAACTTGTCCTCATTGATTTTAGCTACTGCAAAAAGCTTAGAGAACTTCCAAGAAACATGAGCATGTTAAAGAAGGTTAAAATGTTATTGCTAAAAGGTTGTAATTTCGGTGAATCTCAAATCAATACTAGGGATATGGATTCATCAGAAAAGCTAAAGACTACTAGCCTTAGCATAAACACAATAACCACTTTCTCTGTAGTTCAGCAGGCCATACCAAGTGATTTGAAGTTATTAACGGTTTCTTTACCGAGATCTTTAGTAAGCTTAGCACTTCAGAATAACAAATTGTCCACAGAATCCTTTCCCATCGACTTCAGTTCCCTATTTATGTTAGAAGAATTATATTTAGATGACAATCCTATAGTTTCCTTGCCCAGCTGTGTGAGAAGCCTTCCTAGGATTAAGATACTTAGCATGCAAAACTGTGAAAAATTGATGTCACTCGAGAACCCTCCACATACACTTAGAGAGTTGATGCTTGTTTCTGATTATAGGCCTGCACTACGAAAGGTTTTATTTGATCAAAATATGTCCCCACTCAAGTTTTATATAGAGTGGAGAATGTTTGCCCCATCATCATTTGAAATTGAAGGTGTGGTAAAAATCCAACCAATGGCAAGTGCTGAGAAAATGTTATTACGTTGTTTAGGCTGGATTGAGCTAAACATTTTTAAGGAAAGACGCTTAAGAACTGATAGTGTGTCTAGAGGAATAGAGGAATCTGAAATCCAGGTTTGAATCTATCAAACTATCTGTCTTTGTTTGAATATATGTGTATATAGAACTATTATGGTGATTGATCAAAAATTGGTTGTATTTGGCAGATGTATTACGAATTTGGAATATTCAGCACAATTTTTGAAGGCAACGAGATGCCGAATTGGATTACGGAAAGAAGCCAAGGGACATCAATATCATTTACCATCCCATCATCTTCTAAAAAGCTCATAGGCTTGAATTTCTGCTTTGTGAATACGTTGCAAATTGGAGAAGGTGACTCCATATATACACCAATGATAAAAATTAGTAATATAACAAAGAACCTAGTCTGGATATACCAGCACTACATCGACGCTGTTGATGGAGGGTGTTTGATGTTTTTAAGCCATTGGATGTTTGGGATGAATGAGATGGAAGGTGGTGACCATGTTGTTATTACCATGAGTAAGAAACCATATGATAGAACTAGTCAAGTGGCAATAGAATGTGGGGTTAGTTTTGTGTATGATGATGGAATTACGGATGAAGAAAAACTTGCTTTGAGTTATTACAAGTCATGGAATCACATCATTGGTAGAGATCTCACTGGATTTCAGTTAACAACCGGAGAATACCTCCTAAGCATGGAACGATTTATGATTCATGTTGATGACTTGTTAATATGGGATCGTCACCTCGTTAGAGATGGTGCCCGATTTAAAGGTATAATCATTAATTATTATGTATTGTTTTATATCTAGTATTTGTTTGGCAAGAAGATAATGGAGATCACACAACCAACACATTGTTGTTGATATCAGACTTGGATTTTTCTCATGGAGAAATACTTGTTTCCTTATATAACCATAAGTTGCTAGAACAACAATTTCTTCCACCACCAATATATATGCTACTACTAGGGCTATCCATCAGAGTTGACCAATATTTGATATAAATAGATGCATCATGCATATTTAGGACCTGTGAACTCAAACTCAACACATTACTAAAATGATAGTATGCTAAAATCCCCTTTCACAATATCCATATAAGACCATAACTTTATAGTCTTTCAATGATAGACACTCCATGTTTTAACTTTATGTGATCATTATCAAATCTTTTTAATATATTTCTTTTACTCAGATAAGCTAGTGAACTTCAGAGCTTTCCCTTAAAGGAAGTCTAGCGTATGGAAGATGGCCCCTAAGGTATTTTTATGTTCTGAAACTAATAATAAAAATACACAAACGAAAGCTTATCAAATATATGTTTTCTTGCAGTGACTACTTGAAGCTTAGGATTTACGATTGTGGTAACAAATATGTCAAAAGATCCTTGAAGCCATATCATAGGTTACATTGTCTTGATTTTACTATGAAATTAGTGTTTGCTAGCTACCAAAGCCATTTGGTTCTAAGCCGTCTTCTTTTCAGATGTGTTTAGGTTTTATAATGGCAATGAAGTTGCTTTTTGTTTTACAGTTTTGTTATCCCAAAGAATTGGATTACAGACATGCATGTCTAAATTTAATTCAATACACTACTACAAACAAAAAGGCTTATATGACCTGGTTAAATCAATTAAATAACGCAGCATTGTGAAAATAACCATTGGGGCTTACATCCAAAATTACACTATGTTACAATTAACAACCTACACAAGTATACAGAAACTAAGCCTTACAACCAAAACACATATTCAATATAAAGAGTATGCTCTTATGAACAAGTTCTATTGATGTAGACATGCTAAATAACCGAACATTATAGTCATTGATATAAACATGTTTGAATGTCACAAAAAAACTTTGATTTGGTCATTTCTTACTGCATAAAACTTACATTTAAATTTTCAAAAAAGAAATTGTGAACATATAGCAAAGGGATTGTCCCACAATCAAGTGTAGCATCTATCCTCCATCCTCACTAAAAACAAACACAACAAAAAATCAGTGTTTTGTCTAACATTTCAAAACAGTTGAATTTAACAAATAACCATTAAGAAAACATTTCAATTTGGGAGAACTTCATATATTCCCTTCTCAAACATCAAAATATCTTATTTGTCAGCTCCCATTTTACTGCATTACAACTATCAAATAACACCAACCACTGAGATAATGTTTTGGACTAAGTCGATACTACAAGAGATTCTACAGGAATCATGTGAAAGTTTTATAGCATTCGAGTAATCAGGTTGTAAAAAAACAAAAAAGAAATTTAATTATGATTCAAAGAAAAGCATGCACATGTGTTCCAAATTCGATTCCCTTGCTTGTCAGAGCATCACATGCATGCACCTGATATTGTCTAAGCAGCATCCATGGCTAGTCCAATTATACTTACTCAACTTATTTAAAAAATATATGAGGCTTTCTAGGAACTACAAATAACACAAGATAGTATGAACTCCATTTGCAGGGCCGACCCAAGGGCGGGGCGAACTGGGCCACTGCCCAGGGCGGCAATATTGGACAGGGCATCATTTTTTTTCCGACTCTTAAAGGTATATGTCACTCAGCCAATAATTTTATCCCTAAAAGTAGTCGAACAGGAAGGGTACCTGATCCGAAAAGTGAAACTAGAAAGAAGCGGCAATATTCCTCGACTAGCTGAAATACTCATGCCTCTTTGAAGAAGACGAGGAGACTAACCGACTGGGAGAACTACCGAGGAGTCGTTGAGGTTTTCTGAATCTATCTTTTATATACCGAGGAGTCAGGGATCGAACATTTTCTTCCAAGCAAAAAACACGCATGCTAATTTCATGTTATTTCTTTCATAAAGAGGGGAAGGTATTTTGATGCTTTCTTTCATAAGGAGGGGAGGTATTCTGATTCATTCTTTGGACTTTCAAACTGAGGGTCAAGGATTAGGTTTGTTTTTTACACATTTTTTTTTTTGCAAACAACACCGAAAGTCGCATCTTTTTTGTTTCTTTGCTTAATTTTCTGAGTGATATATGTGTTTCAGTTTTCAGTTATCAAAAAAGTAGAATATTTAGAAGAGAATAGGTAGAGAAGACTTTTACAGCACTGGAAGATTCGAGTCACTGAAATTTTATGTTTTTTATGGTTCTTTTGAATTTGGAGTTTGGGTCTAATTGAGCACTTACTACTCATAAGACCAGTCGTGTGTTCCAAGGGCCAACTTATCCCTGTTATTATGTTGTTATGCTTCGATGTTGATAACCTTATCATTTATTGTTTTGCACAAGTAGCTTCGGGAGATGTGTTCGTGTGTGATTAGGTTGCATCAATATTTTTAATGAAAAATGAACAGGTTCTAATCTCAAGCCATGATTCATTTACCACTTCAACTGGTTCAAGAAGATTAGGTTCCTGTAGATTGATATATATATATATATATATATATATATATATATATATATATATATATATATATATATATATATATATTGATGCAAAAAAGATAAAAATGATAAAATAGAAAATCTTTTTGGAATTTTTATAAATGCAAACTAAGGAAAAAAATTGAAAATAAAATCTCTATTTCTCTTTTTTTAAATGCTTTGAAAATGAATGCACAAAAAAAAAGTAAATTTTTTTTTGAAATGTTTTGGATAATATGCATAAAAAAAACAAGAACCTAATATACAAAGAAAACCCCTTCCCCAAGCTTAAGATTAAGCATCGTCCTCGATTCTCGGAGAGGGTAGGGCAACCAATTAAGACACAAATGTATAACTATATAGAGCATATGAACATATTTTCAACAATTCTATTCAAATAATCTTAAGATTAATGCATAAGACTTGAGATATGGAAGGAATGTAAGTTAAATTCTTGAATTTGTGATGTGTGGTTGACTTTTTCAGTTCATCTTCAACCTCAAGAAAAGCTTGAAATCATCAATGGTGAAATACCCAATCGAAGATGAAAGCTTCCAATCATCCTTCCAAAACGCCTCCCCAAGCTTGCTCTTGAATAACCTATACAAGAATTTTGAAACTTAATACAAGAATCAATTCAAACTTTACAAATCAAAAACTAGGGTTTATGATGAGAAATACGATTTTACACTTCCATGGGGAGAATTCGACCTAGATGATGAAGGAGATGAAGTTAGGAACTTAAAACAACATACATGTGTTTCTTAATCTCTGATTAATTGAAAGAAATCGAACCCTAGACTAGGGTTTGGAGGGTTCTCGATCAAAGAATGATAGAGGGGAGGAGACGCACGACTATGAGTAAGATAGAGTATTTTTTAGCACGATTGAAAGCAAGATATGCCCGTGCGATTTAAACATGGTCCATGCAATTTTTTCATGGTCCGTGGGTTTGTTTTTTGAGATAGGGGAGTTGCCTCGACAACACACAGTCTAAAGATAGGTCGTGCGATTTCAAGTTTTTCACCTATGTTTTTTAGCATGGCTCTTGAGTTTTGGCATTAGGCTGTGTGTTTTATGCCTAGATGTCACACCCCCAAACCAGAATGGCGGAAACATTCGGGGGTGGATGACTTCACGTAGTATCACAACAATTGAATATTGTAAAGAAAGTAACACAACCATCATATATATAATAAAAACGTACATTGTTGCGTTATACATGTTATCGAAAGAATATTACAATTTGATGATTCAAAATGTTTGATAATAAATGCCTTAGAGTTCCTTCTTCAAAAGCTGGTAGTTACCTGTATTACTGATTACCTGAGAAATACAAGTGGTTTCGAAAGAGTGTCAACAATAAAGTTGGTGAGTTCATAAGTGTCTTTGTACTGAAAAAGTATGTTCTTTGGAAGAAAATAGCTGAACGAGGTTTTCCAGAAAATCCGATATTTTCCACATATAGTTTGAAAAGTTCCCAGAGTTTGAGGGCGTTAGTATCTTTCGTACTTAAATAATAAAGATGAATTTTGTACACAAAATAATGTAAATATTGAATGCATGTATGAGACTCGTAAATCAAGCTTGTTTTTATACTTTCGTGTGAGTCTTATAACCATACTATTGACACAGACTGCCTGTAACAACATTCTTCAGGTGTTGTAGTGTTATGACATTTGTCACCCCAGACCTGCCGGTCTAACTGTAGCTAACAGTTTAGGTGCGAGATTGTCAATCTCGTATAGATCTATACACAAGTATCGCGCTCTCCCTCTAAGAGATTATGGTTTATAATACAGGACTTGAAATGCATACTTAGGAGTACGTTGAAGTTGAATATCTCACCTTACTTAGTATAAATAGATTTATGATAAGAAAGCCTTTATTTCACTTTAGATGAAAGTATTTCGTTTTCAAGATGTATACGTAAGAATGTATAAATAAACCGTAAAATATACCCATTATAGTTTTTCAGAAAGTATGTTCCATTTGGTGAAAATGACTTGGTGAATATTATACTTTATACGTAAGGTAAGAAGTTGGTATCGAATAATAACAAGATAGATGTTGTATTTATATTAATAAAATGATACGTTTTCTTATATTTTACTTGTATTCCCCTCCCCCCCCCCCCCCTAAAACATGAAAAGACTTGAAAAGTAGGGGTATGAACTCACTTGTTCGGTTTGATGAGAGTGAGACTAGAGTCAAGCAGAATTTCAACTGTGGAGAGTTGCGTTTTCGAGCTTCTCAGGGATCTCGGTAGCGTAGAGGCTTCATCGGGGGCTTGAGTGTGGAACCGAGGGTGTTGGAATGGTCTCTGGTACGTAATAGTGTGTGAGAGTGAGTGAAACTTAGAGAGAGGTGTGCTAAAATCCGGAGCGTATGCCTTCTATTTATAGGCTGAAAATGCAAGTACGTTGGGCGTACGACCGGAGTACGTTGGACATACGCGTTACGCTAGGCGTACTTCGGTTATGTTGGGCGTAACTTCGCGTCATGGCTTACAACTTGGGTTTAGCTAGGCATAGAGCTTGCAGCCGATGGGACTTGACCCTGCACCTGAGTACGCTTGAGTACGCTGGGCGTAATTCTGGCTTCTATCTTCTAAATTCCGTAACTTTCACGTACGGGCTCTGATTTTCGCGTTCTTTATATCCACGCGTAGGTGAGATTATGCTCTACAACTTTCATTTACACCGTCGGCTATTTTTGACTTTATTTTTAATGCTATGTTTTTAATAGGCCGGGACTGCTAAAATCCGTTAAAAATTCGTAACTTCTTCATACGAGGTCCAATCTAGGCGATCTTTTTTATGCACGTTTACAGTTTAACGAACTCTAGGAATTTCGTTTAGATACCTAAGGCTAAAATGCATTTTATTGGAATCTCACTTTTTACGCTAATTAATGCCTTACCAGTGTGTCGTGAAATATCTAATGGTCGTAATTCTTTTATTATAAACCGGTTTCGAATGTTCTTTATGTTTTCAGAATTCTTGACATGAAATCTAACATTTGATGCATCCCAAGTTTAGATTTTTGAATACTTTATGTTTGGGGTTAATTCTGTTGATTCCAAATAGTTTCGTTGTATTTGACTTTTAAGTGTTACAAAGCGTTGGAAAAATATAGGGTTGTTACATCATCCCCCCGTTATGGGAATTTCGTCCCGAAATTTAATCTAAGACAAAGTTTACGGGTTAGGAAAAAGATGCGGGTACTTTTGTTTCATCTGATCCTCGCGTTCCCAGGTGTACTCAGGTCCTTGTTTGGCGTTCCAGCGGACCTTTACAATAGGTATGCGGCTTTGTTTAGTTCTTTTGATTTCCTGATCCATGATCTCTACCGGTTCTTCTACGAACTAGAGATTCTCATTTATTGCAATTTCGTCCAGAGGGATGACGAGTGTCTCATCGGACAAGCACT